CTGTACTCGAAATGGACAGGGGTGGAGCTTTAATGACCTGCCTTTATTGTGAAAGGACAGACAAAGTTAGGAACTAGCTGGGAAGGATAATGTTACATTTAGCAGTTTATGTCAGGAAGATACCAAAAACAGAGCTAAAAGCACTTGGACTTACATTCATCAGGTGCACTCAAACACTGTTGCAAATAAATGCTGGATATGAACAATAAATAATACAAATAATAAACTGTTTGCTAACACAATAGCTATATAATAGTTAGCTATTATAATATATCAATTAGGGGATGAGCAAATAAACCATTATCTTTAAGCTATCTGTCTCTTTTCAACCAACTAAATTTGTATTCTTAACCGTACTGAATGCTGAAACAGGATGTGGATAGGACTAACCAGAAGTTGCTAGATCAGAAATTGCTATATTTATAAGAAGAACCAGAACAACCTCAGAATGCGTGTGTGTTTAATTCAGGTTTAACCAAGTGTTTCTGTCAAGTATCAAAAACTGGCAGTAGCTGGTCAGATTTGTGCTGTACTTCATCAGATAGTCTCTGATTTAATTTCTAATTTGACCAAATTAAGACTGTATTCATGCAAAGTTACTGTACAATCGCTTGTATAACAACTGCCATTTGAAAAAGAAACTGCGTTCTGTGGAAAAACAAAGCTTATATTCCTATATATGTATTGAAAAAATTATCATTGTGGTATTGATCAAAAAAACTATGCATAATAATGTATCGCAAAGTTTAAAAAATATCTTGCCCAAATTATTTTGTTCACGTTACAAAATGCATTACTGTGGCTTTAAATAGTGTTTTGGTGGCAGATGTTTGTCGGAATGACAAACCAAAAAAAAAAAAACCCTAAACCTTGAGTGGTACAAGAGCTTCTTGGGGTATTAGTTGTACACTGAATTGAGGAGTGGATCCTGACTGTTCCTGAAAGGTCTCCAGCCAAGTTCAATAAGATGTGTAGCAGCATTTGTCGATACCGATGGGATATTTACTTGCCAGCTTCTTGAATAGAGTTCGGTGGTGACATTTTCTACACACAACAGAAGGGGCAACAGTATGTCTGTGCTGGTTGCATGGATGCACAAACTCCATGTTATCAAGCTCTCGGCATCTCTCGCTCTCTTTCTCATGCTCTGTCCGTGGTGCTGAAAGCCTCCATTCTCTTGCTCAGGGTCCTTGGAGTTGTATTTCCATTTAGAAAAGCAGGCGCGCTCTTGAAAAGCCAGCAAGGCTTCTTCTCAATAGAGCCGCTCTCACCGGCATTGTGAGGTTTGAGAGGTTCGGAGACAATACCCTGTGCTGTTATGGTATAAAATGACCCTTCATCATTGAATGTGATGGGCTGTTTAAGTTCAGAGATACAACAGACATGCTCTGTTAAACACACAGAAGAACATGGGTGACATGTTTCATTTGCAGGTTCAAGATATGAGGGGATCATTTTAGCTGCATTATCATTTACATAGTGGCCCTGCAAGATAGAGGATGTTTCAAGTGCATACTGTATCATTTGTTGCTATATCATAGAGGTCAGTGTGTTTAGAAATAGCCTAAGTAGCCATTTGCAGCATGAATTAGCTTTTATTTAATAGCAGTTGTCACACATTGGTAGTTTTAAAGGACATATAGGCTTTTTGTCCTCCCTTTTTACTCTGCATCTTTGCACCATCTCTGCACAACCCTTGACCTCTGACAGTTCTTTAGTCAACAGGCTTTTATAACGCTACCGTGTTGTGTAACATACCTGCGGCTTGTTCCTGTGTCTGCCTGAGCCAGGCCGGAGCGGGCTTCATTGTATCTAGGTCAATTTTGTTGACAAGATAATCCCATCTAAACTGTTGTTGGATTACCAGCTAAAATAAACCTGTTCGTATGAGGGGTCACTGCCTGTTCAATGTTTAATCCAATAGTTTAATGAACGTTATCAAACAGATGTTCTAATTAGGGCTGGACCGATGGCTGTTATTGACACTGATAGTTTGGGATTCAAGCCAGCATTCTGTTGTCAATTGTTTATATTTACCCCATAAAATCCTCATTGGATGCTAAAACACAGCCACCAGCTTTTTTGACTTGGGGAAACTGCTTCTCAAGGTGGACTGAAGCATCTTCCACTCCGGGTTTTATAGACTAAAACCCCCGAAGCTGCTGAGGAAAATCCTCCCATATCGTATAGGAAAGCTGTCACATCAGCAGTGGGTGTTTGAGGCCAGTATCTGGTATTAAATGTCAATACAGACCTGATATTACAGCAAGTCCTTTTTTCTGCCAAAGTACACAATAGTTTTAATCATCCAGATTTAACAGGCAAGCCCTAGCTTTTTATTGATAATCAGTTGTTCTTCGTCCTGATTAGACTCCTACTGCTGGACTTTCAGTTGGACTGTGGCCTCTGATCCAGGACAGAGTGCAGCTTTGTCATGCGGGGCAACAGAAACAATGTTCTGGCTTCCCGGGACGCCTACAGTAAGATCCAGCTGAAAGGCCAAGTTTAGTACAGCATCTAGAGAGCGCTTTAATTCATAGACCTGGAATTGGAGTGGTCATAGAGGACACTGAGGACACGTCCTTTGTATTTTTATGGGAATTTGGGTTGTTTGGCAAATGTTGGCGATTTATTTAATAGTTGACATCTAATCAGTTGATCAACCAATCGTTGCAGCACTGCAGGGCTGTCACTGTTTATTAAAAATTCAAAACCATCATTCAGAAGGGTAAAAACAATTATTAAATGTAAGTCTGAGTGACGTAAATTTGCATTCAAATTAATTGCATTTTTTTTGCAAGTATGTGAACAACTTTTATAAGCTGTTTCTAGTATTTTTGACTTTGTACATTTAACTTTGACTACTTTGATGCCAATAAAGTAATAACTGAAAAGGCTTCTTCATGTCTCCATCAGAATTATATTTCTCGCAGTGTGGACAAGGCTTTGAAACCCCATATAGACCTTTATGACTAGAAATATAAATGAAATATAATGGAAGCGTTAACTGATAATAATAATTACAAAAATATATGTATCAAACAAACAAACAACATTTCGCATTTCCAAAGATGCTGAGGGTGGTGGGGGTTGGGTTGGGAGGACTCATGAGCCCCTGATCGGACTGTTGAAAGGGGGTTGGACAGGGCACAACATTAAATGTGCAAGAGTATTTTGACATCAATAAATCATTAGTGCATGAATTATTAGTGTCTTACTGTCTGTTTATCCTATACAGTAAAGCCAAGGATGCTGTCGGGGGAGGGGGGACGTAGGCTTTCTGGGTGATTTGGTCATACATTTCAAAACATTCACATTCTTTCTGCTGTTAAATAAAGGCTATCAATCATTTATGGTAATTGTAGGTAGCACAATTCATTTGATAATTATATATTGAGATCCACAAATGCTACATCTGTCACCTTTAATCAAACACATTCAAAAGCTACAATTTCAGTGTTTCCTCCCTCTATGTGCAGCGTCATGGCTTTAGTTAGCAACATGTGATTATGTGAGCGTGTTGGGGAAATATGTTTATGCTCATGGAATTCTTTTTTAAAATAGGCCACAATGCACTACTGTGGCTTGAATGGGCTCAATGGCTAAGCTACAATAGCGCTTGAAGCTAACAGATGGCCAACCTGTGGCCCTTTTTCTAGATTGTGTGTGTGAGTTTATAGCTGCAAGTACGCATTACCTCACATGTCAGTCCTTTGTTGAACGAGAGCGATGGGAAATGGGATTTTGCTCCACAGAATGGTATGGTTATTTAAAGCGAGGCAACACAACAAAAGAGGGAGACTGGGAAGAGAAAGTGAGATAGTGAGAGAATGGATTTGAGTCATATGTTTACCTGCCAGTGGTGCTTTTTTCTGTATTGTTGCCATAGCAACAGCGGCTCGCTGTATTGGTGTGTGTGCTGTGCTTGTGTGTGTGTGTGTGTGTGTGTGTGTGTTTGTGTGAGACAGGGGATGTAATTCTGCCTGTCACCAGTGTAGCCTAGAGCTGGCTCCCCAGCTGCTGGTTGCCATGAGACCAGACAGACACATCCTCCGCTTCAATGATAAATCTTTCCTCTTGACGCTCAAATCACTAAACAGATTAGGTACATTTTGTTTGAGGTATGTCAGGATAAATGGTCACTGCTGTGCTCCGTATTACTCCAAATTGTAACATATAAATCATTTCAAAAGTAATATCATTAGAATGTCATTACAATGAACAGGGTAAACATTGGCTTATAGGGAAAAAAAAAAGACTAGATCATTTCAAATGTACTGGAGTAGAACTTGGTTACTGTACAGGGTTTTCTATTCCAATACACACCACAAAAGACAACAGCACACAGACCAATTTGATGATAATAGAAACAAGACCCTGAACCTCGTGTAATTTATGTCTATCTGTTGTATATCAGGCTGAAATGCTTCTTCAGCATTAAAACATCTCTGCTCAACTGTCCAATGCATCCGTTAACTAGCTCTGGCTAGAGTAAATTAGTTTTATGGTAAAACCAAGCAAATAATCCAGTAATGTAACTAGTTAGCTAATGTCAATTCCTTCATGTCGGTTACTCTACTACACATGGGTTTCAGATGCATGCTAATGGACAAAGGCAATGGAACATTGTTGATAGTAATGAAGATAAATCACTAAACATTCATTTTCTGTCAGTGCATATCAACTGCACATCCTTAATGTTCAACAAATGGCTACAGTTGTGTTTCTTTGGCTATTAACTATCAAACGTATGATTGATATCATGGATAACTATTTTTACATTGAAATATAGTCAGTTAATGATGTTTCCAAGATGAATTTATTGAGAAATGTATGTTATTTATAACACACACTGTCCTTTGTGATAAACCCGGGGGTTCTTTGAGTCCGTACAGAACTGCCACTGTAAGCTAACAAAAGAGTACTCTTTCTTACTCGTTTTAGAACCTCCTTTTCAAGGGCACGCACAAATGTAACATTGTACCCTGTTTTTATCGCAGAGGGGTCCTGAGATGACAGAAGTAGAGCCTGTGTTGGACTTCGCCTCCTCGGGGCGCTCGGGGAGGAGAAATGCCCTGCCTGACATCCTGGGCTCTCCGGCGGGCGTGAACCCTGGCGACCTTCCTCTTAAACTAGCTGAGCTGTCTCTCAAAGGTAAAGGACACAATGTTTTATTTTTCATTATTATAATATTGAGAATATTGAGCTGATATATTATGAATGAATGAATTATGAATATTCAGGTAAATTCAAACTGTAATCTTGAACTTAAACTTCAGTATGTAGTGCAAGACAATGTGTCAGTGTGGCTCGATTCTGAGTACAATGTGAAAGGTCGCCTGCTGTGAACTTCAATCTGACTTTAACTAGCCACATCTGGTTGTGTTAGACACGGAAAATATGATGGGGAATGATTCAATCAAACACGACAGTCACCCAGGCCTGACACTGCTACCTAGACACACTCGGCTGTGGGACTGGGACTGAAGACTAGGCTAGGATTGCTTCTTGGGAATTGGGTATAACTGGCTAATTCCATGCCAGAATCATAAGTCATTCATCACGACTCTGGCATGAGAGTGGCTACCGGGCTTGCCAGATTTAGACCACTGTTGGGCTGAGTATTTTTGGCTTCATGGGTTGCAAGCAAATTAGCATGCTGCTAAATAAAATATAATGACGCCGTTTGTATTATTCTTTGCTCACTCTTCTTCTATCCTTATAAGCCTTTCTCTGTGCACTCGCAAATCTTGACTTGCAGACTGTTTCCCGGCCAATTCTGTTTCGTGCCTGGTCACTACTTCTATTGCCAATTAACAACAACAATTAACAACAAGTTTTTCGCAAACTAGCTAAAGTAAGCATGCACGTACTTGTTTCCCCCTATGGCCCCGAATTAGGGATCCCAGTTGTATGAGAAACTCACTTGATTTTTAAAGCAGTTATGCTACTTTCATGGGTTTTGAAACTGGCTTTGCAGTTCTTTTTCACACAACAGGAGCCAGTAAATGACTCAAAGGCAAAAACATTTCAGCGCTGAGAGATATAATAATCATTTAAGTCACTGGTATTGATCAACAATAGCTTCTGACAGTCTAATTCTTTCTTTTTGCCCTTGAAAATGACTGCAACACATTTCTTATTGTGTCTTTTTGGGTTTGTGCGCAGATGGTCCGGGAGGGGCCCAGTCACCCACGGCGGAGGAGCCTCCAGCACCGCCGGAGAGCTCAGAGGGGAAAGAGGGATCATAGGGACTCGTTTATGTACCTCCCCGGAGACCTGCAAAGATAACCTGAGAGACGGGATGAGGAGCGAGATAGAGGGCGACCTGTGGGAGAGAGAGTGATTATCTGTGGAGAGTCAGTCTGTTTGCGAAGCAGCTGAGCCACGGACGGAGAGTGACGGACCGACTCCCGATGGACTGGAGCTAGGAGCTTTTTGGCACTCAGTGTCACTTAGTTATGAACCAATGAGTGTGTGTGTGTATAGTTGAGTTATACATATACCAAACACTACACTGAGAATCAAAGGGACCATGACAGATTGTATACTTTACACTACTATTTTTGTATGATTTATTTAAAACTAAAGAAAAACAGGAACTCGTAAGTCAAATTGTAATATGTACTATTCCCTTGCATTTCCTGCTGATTTTTTTATTCTATAGTGGTGTGTGTTATTTTACATTGACAATAGTAAGAAGGACATTGATAGCAGCCTGTCGTGGCTCAAAGCTTTTTAACCCAGCTGGATGCAAATTGGCACACTTGACGTAAGAATACGTAGAAGAACAGTCTTTGTGTTGTCTTGCTCACTTATGCTTTTACACTATATGTGTATGATCTACTGTATGTTTTCAAATCTGAGGCTGTTGTACAGTATATCTCCATTGTAAATGTACAGTTTTTACCCCTCATCACCAGACTGTTTTGATCCTAGCAACAACCAGGGATTTGATCCATTTTTCTAGGCGTCCATATGGTGCGAGGTGATAACGTGGAAGAGCCGTCCAAATCTTGAGACATTCCTTTAGAGAATAATGTCCCACTGCCAGCAGTGTACACACTGCTTCATTATAATACTGAGAAAGTCAGATTTCCTTTTGGTTTTTTGCTCTTCACTTTCCTCTGAAAATGTGCCTCGTGGCAGTTCACAACCGAAAACCTGTGTTGTGTTCTTTCTCTGTGAAGCACTGTTATCGACTGTTTTTGGGCTACTGATATTTCCTCGGTTTTAATAGGAGGTATCATAACACCTCATTACTGCTTGAACTCTAAATGAAAGGAAAAAAACAACACTTTTGTAACATTCTAAAGACCTGCGGATGCAGATCCTACACCCTGTCAGGAAAAGCATTCCCTTTTGTGTAAACTTCAGCAGGGCTTTTTTTTTTTTTGCAGCGCGATGCTTCTCGCACGTGCTTCTTATAGCGACAGCAGCATATGCCCGCAGTCTGGGCATGGGAGCAAGCAACGCTGCCGCCGCCGCCGCCACAATGTGTTTCGAGTGTCAAAAATGGCAGCACAGTCTCCGCACAGAAGAAAGTCTGTTCACACTCATCAACACATAAGCAGAGCTGTGAATAGGATGCAAGACAGAGCACGAAACACAGCGAGAGTCCACATTTGTCAGCTGTCCGATCACTGCTACTGTATATATATATACTGTATTTTAGTATAACCCATGTGTGTCATACATGCTGCCTGTATGATTACTCACATACTGTATCCACAAACAAATGATGTTCTGTAATTGTCTCTATTTGAAGATGTTTTGCTGGTGGCTGTGTCTTTATGTGGATGTGTTTCACAAATGCAACAAGGAAAGCCTGATGTGCTGCTGTCCAGCCTTTGTTTATGCTGTACTACTACTAATGCTGATGGGAACGTGTTCATGGTCTATCTGAAGCTGTATGATCAACACTTTTTTGGGGGGTTGATGAATCAGAGGTGTATTTTGTAGTGTCCTGATCTCTAAGTGGTGCATATATTTTACTTAGCTGGATTGAATCCCATATGTTGATTCTATCTGGTGGTGAAAATTGCCATATTAAACCCACAAGCTTTACATATACATCTGTGTTGAACAGTGTCATTTCTGTGCAAGGCCCTCATACCTTGTGCTTGAGCTTTATGTTTATGTATGTTGGAAAAAGGGGATAATATTGAAATGATTATGATATCCTTAAGCCAAGTGTTTTTAGCCGTGCTAGAAACAAGGCAAGGTCAGTACACCTCCATTCCAGACTGAAATAGCTCAACAACTACTGAATGGATGGATAGCCTTGGAAATTTGTACAGTGTTTATCCCCTGACATTTCGTCTAAGCCACCAGTAGTTTGAAGTTTGAACAGACCTTTATACAGCAGCCATTTTAACACAGGTGTTACCAATGATAATAGTTAAGTTTCCACTCAGGTCAGACAGTCAGGCTGCTGCTATTGTGCATGTTGGCTCACTGGAAAGGCTCTGCTACACTGAATGGACCAGAAGCTTAGTTATTGTCATTAGTAATAACTGTATTTGCCCTACTATTTCCTGTCCCAGTGGCTGCTGTAAAAAAAGATCTATACTTTGCTTTACGAAATACCTGCAAACTAATGTCATTGCCACTAAATTCAGCTATACTTTGTGTTTGGTGCTGATTAGCAAATATTAGCATACCTCCATACTAAACTAAGATGACCACTGTAAACATTGCCTTCCAAATATTAGCATGTTAGCATGGCATGTTAACATACTGACATTAGCATTTAGCTCAAAAGCACCACTGTACCTAGTACAGCCTCACAACGCTGCCAGCATGACCATGTAGACATATCTGATGAATCCCAAGTAGCGAACAACTTAATGGCAGGTCAAGAAGAAAGACTCGACAAAAGCCAAATAAAGAGAAAAAAGTTGTTCCAGTGGGAGCTGTGTGAAGTCTGATAAATTGCCTCAAGTGATTGAGTCATTTTCAGTTGGGGCTGAAGACTACAAGTTTGAAAAAGCACTTTGATATGTTAAAAAAAGGGTCCATCATGACTCTGACAATGTAGTGCAATAGTAAATTGTGGAGTACTGTTTTCTGAATTTTTTAAATGTTCAGAAACAGTGATGAGAAAGATGGCTGAATGTGATGGTATTTATAATAATCAACCATTTCATATTAGCGTTTAATGACATACAGTTTGAAGGGGCCTAACATTGAAGGAGTTTGTCCAACATGCAACACTGTATAAGCAAATTATCTTTACAATTCCAGGCCAGACTGACATGAAATTTGATGTGAATATTAATGGAGGATTGCCTGTACTGACCTTTCCTCTCATACAACCATCAGGTCAGAGCACTATCATCAGGCCAAAAGAAGCAAATAAGGCACACAATTTGGATCACTTTTTCTCACTTTATTTATGGCATTTAGATCCTCAGCGGATAAAACTAATGTATCCATGATCATCTGGTAGATACATTATACCTGCTGAAGTTCTGAGGACCAAAATGTTGTAAATAAGAGTGATTGACAGTGTGCCAGATTTTTTTTGACTTGATCAAACCGTGAACCCATATTTGAGAAGATGTAATCTCATAGATGCCCACCTGATAAGAGTTCATTATTCTGTGCTATATCTGGTAGTTGCAGATAACTTGAGAGTGTGGGGAAAACATTTTATTGAACAGAGTAGTTCATTCTAATTTTTCATTGGATTATAAAATAAGTAAATTTTTTATTCGAATTTTTGGAGGCCTGAAATTTTTTTTTTTCCCCTCTCATGGGGGTATCCGGCAGTTGATGTATATGGTGGATGTGACATGAAATTTTTTTCTTTCTTTCTTTCTTTCTTCTTCTGTTCTTTTCTTACTTGTTGTTTTTCATTCTTCAGTATTAACTTATTGTACCTGAATCAGCTGATCAGACATACCCTTTTTGCAATAATACAGAGATAATGCAGATTTCATATTTTATACAGTAAGAACGCTATGCTGCCTACTGCTGCTACAGGAATAATAACAGGTTGACCACACAAGAATGGCCAACTAAATCAGTAAATACAAGTGGAAAGCTTTCCTTTTTTATCGTCATGTAGCTACAATAATGGTGGTGGTTGTATGCTGGCTGCAGGTGTTTTTGTCAAATTGAAAAACAGAGTATATGCAACATTTTCTGTTCTGTCTATATGGCTCTGTTCCATTTGATTGCAGCCACGGCCTCTGATGACAGGCACCTAAAATGGCTCCAGTCATTTTTTACATCTTTTGAAGTGCAAAGTCCACTTCAGAAGATGATAAAAATGATAAGGATCACTTGAAGGGAGCATCTATCTTTCTCTTCCAGAATAGCCATGTTAGTACACTCCTATTACATAATGCAGCAGTTCCTGTGGGTGTGCAGCAGATGGAGACATTCACTAAATTATCATTCACCTCACGTCATGCTTCTATGCCGACAGAAGAATTTCTTTGTTATGTCTGGTACAAAGAAAACATCTAAAATACAATTCCTAAAACAATATTTATATGAACATCTTAAGTTACATACTTATGGTGACTTAAACCATGATTTGGAGGCTCTGGTTTCACATTCCTGCACATAAAATTCAGTTTAAAACCCAGTAAGGAGTTTGACTAGGACACACCCTGTGTTTCCTCGATGCCATTGAGCCATTCGACAAAGATTTTGAATTTGTTTCAGTGTAATCGTCTCGAATGTTGCTGCTAACCTGTGGAGGTGGAGGTTAACAATGAATGGGGGTGTGCTGCACAGAATGTGTTTGTAAAGCCATGAGTGAACCTTTGTGATCGTGCAGGCTGGTTGTCTGGCTGCGTCCCAGCATCCCTGCTGACAGGAGATGAGACCATCCTTACACCCAAGGGCTCTTTGTCTCTCTGCAGACACAACCACAGTAAAGCACTTGTGTGTAATACATTATGTTTGTTAGCTGATTCTGCGGTCCATAGATTATGTAATGGAAACATTATTTATTTAAAACATAGCAATGGCACTACTGCAACATTAATACTGGTCATTTATTCAAACAAAACCCAAATGTGTAATCCATTTGAGAATTATTGTTTTTGCTAAAACATCCCTGTTAGTCTCCACCTCCACTCTCAGGCATCCTCCTCTCCTCTGAGGTAGCTCCTTTGCCCAGACTGCTTCTACGTAACTTGTTGCTAGGGTAACCTAGCCTTGAGAGATGCTTAGGCCTGGTTGCATTGTATGCGGTCATGTTTTTTTAGGGCATGAGGGAAGGAGGAAGAATGAATTTGAAGGAGTTGGCTGCAATGAGGGCAGGAGGCTTAAGCATGATGTAAACTGCAAGGTGTGAGGTCTTGAGTGAGGGCAAACTTGACCTTGTGGTTTAATTATTAGATTAAATATAGAAAAAGAAACCAGAAAGCAATATCTAAAAATAACTTTGGATGCAGTGAATTGCCAGCTCTAAATACTAACATTAATTTCTGGTACTGTGAATTTGGCAGCTCACACTTTTACAAATCTAAAATAACAAGACAGTGTGTTTCTAATTCCACAGGGCAGCAAAGCAGTTGAGAGGAAAGCTCTCTGTCTGCTTACATAATTGAATAGCATGGTATAAGCGGTTAGCATTGGCTTTCCTCAAGGAAATTGTTGTGTAATTGCCTCACAGAAATGCACTGTGGTTCCTCTCACAGACAGGTTCGAGCCAAATGCTCTGTTATCAATCGAAGCTAAGTGAATGAGCAGCAGCAGCAGCGGGCTTTAGGAATCCAACTACTCTCTCCTTTTCAACCTCTATCTCTCTTCGTCTCTCACCCCCTGTGACCGGGCCAGTGAGTGAGTGATCCAGCTGCTGTTGAGGAGACAGCGAGTGTTAGAGAGACGTATAGAGAGAGACAGATAGAGAAAGGGAAAGAGGGAGGGCGAATGATAAGACTGCCACTGAGGCCAGTGTAGACGTGGGTCACAGATAGGATGCCAGGCAGGCAGGCAGGCAGGCAGGCAGGCAGCCCAGCAAATAGAAAAGCCTTCACGTGGAAGTCAACGTGCCATTTCCGACATACAGGAGCCTCAGGAGGAAAGATGGAGAGGAGAAGAAGAAGAAAAGTAAGACGCGCGAGAGAGCGAGCGACAGACAAAGAAAGAGGGAGAAGGTGCCAGGGCCGCTGGAGCATAATTGATTCAACAAACTCCTAAGTCATAGCACTGTCGTAACATCTTTAATCATTCCCCACCAAAATATCCACACCTGCTTGTATCAACTTGGACTGGCATTTTCCTATATTTTCATCAACAAATCCATCCAATCCCATAAGAGACCAAAAACAACACTGCGTTTGTCTGTCTGTTAAATCTTTAATAACTCAATGAGCATATAGTTTAAATTTTTAAAAAGGCTGAGTCATTTCCTGAAACAGCTGGGCTTTTTAGTATTTAATTAATGTTAGTTAAACAGGAGGAAATAATGAATTTGTTGGGGATTATTTTCAGCTGCGGATTAATACACATTTGGTGCGCTATAGTGAGCGTTTCCAGCAGCAGGATGGTGTACGTATGATTGACTCAAGGTAAATACAATGTCGGTGTTCATCGTGGCTCATTTATGTGTTTTTATAGTTTTTGGACAATAATGAAGCTCTATGGCACAGAGGAATAAGCTACATATATATCCAACTTTGACTACTGTTGTTAAAGGTTACATATATGAAATTTAAAATGTGAATATAGCAGCAACAACTATTAGCTATGTAAAGATATAGTGTAGTCATGGTGTCACACTCCCTCTGCTTGTGTTGCTATCACAGCCTCTCTGTGGTTTGTTTACAGAGCCGGTCTGCTCCGTGTGAGAGTGACTGAAATGTTTTTATCATCAATGTCTGTGAATTAAGATTTCAAAGCAGAATTGGTGATTGTTGGAACAGTGGAAAGACTAACAAAGACTGGTGAGTTTTGTTTCTTTCCACTTGGAATTAAGTTACAGTGATATGAAATGTGAGGTAAAAATATTGTTATTGTCTATGGAGTCTGGTTGGAGCAATAGTGATATAAGGCCTGTTTCTGGTCTATCTCCTGTCCATAATGTTATCAGAT